TAACATGTATAAATGTATTCAATTTTTAGATTTCTAATGCTGCATATCAACCAATACTATCGACAACTAAGCTGAACATGAAAATATAATCACAGAAAATATAGAGATTGTGCAAAAAACAGGTCTCAAATATAGAAATGCATACTTTAACATGCAAGATAAACAAGATCTTCACACATAAGGCTACGATGATAACATCGTGGAAGTCATTAGACGCCTAATAAAATGTAAAATCACTTGTTGGTACTCTACAACTTCTGTAAAATGATTTAGATGAAATGTAGATTTACAAGGACACAGTGATGAGTAAAAAAAAAAATCTATGTGCATTTAAACGCTGAAAATCGTGCAGTGTAGACAAATAGTATTAGTTGTTTTATTTATATTTTAAATAGTTGCTTTGCAAGTATTTCAATTAAGGCTATTATTTCTCTATGCTAAAAATAACACCACATTTTATACTATATCACAGTATCATTACATAATGAGCACGTTAGTATTTACTAAGAAAAAAAAGCATGAAAAATTGAATTTTATTGGAATTTACATCAAAATTAAGGCTGCTCTAGGCTAGTTTGGCATTCAGCACACAATTTAAATGGTCCATTGTTCCCTCTGTTAGGCCCAAAGCAGAGATTTTCAGTATCTGGCGTAAAGTAAGGTTGTTTTACATTTACATGCAATCCTCACCTCGGTTTATGCAGTCTATGGTGAAAGTGACAGTTTAGACACTTTATGAGCCACTACAAAATCCTCAGAGACCTAGCTGAAAAGCATAGGGATATAATGTCATATGGTCATTGCTTCCTGTTAAAAGGTTACTCCAAGAAAAAACAGTATTCTTATAAAACACTTATTTTGGTTAGAGTAACCTTTTCTGATGTGGTCTGCCACATACATAATAAAAAGTAAATTAAAAAAAAGCGATGAAGTTCTACAGCCCAGTCCTCCTTGCCCTTCACTGGAGGGTGAGAGAGGACAAGGAGGATTGACTGAAGGCATGGAGATGGTGCCATGCCACCATTGGCTGTCTGGGGCCAGCATACTGTGTGCACTGTCGGCAGATGCAAATTTGCACAGAATTGACATTAGGCAGCTGAGGAATTAATTTCTGTATATAAAGTGTTTCAAAGCAAAACACTACACATGCAGACCGCAGGCACCATGACCACTTTAATCAATTAAGTGCTTAGGGTGACGCTTTAAAACGACTCAAATTCAATAATAAGATGTCTGGGTTGGAGAAACATAGGCCCCTCTGTCCATGCTTTTACCACTGAGTATGAAATATTGTAAACCCCCGGCAACACTAGTAGTGCTGGTCATTTACTGGTACTATAAGAGTAACCACAACTACACACAGATGGACCACACTCTAAGGTATCCTACCAGGAAATGTTTTGATGTCTTGCTTGCCAAAAACTAGAGCCATAAGCAAAATATGTATTTTGTTTTACACTAGGGATATATTTGACTTGCACAACCAAATGTTTCCCCCCAGTACCATGATGTCTGGATATCTGTAAGATATTCAAAAAAATTACAACCTAGGCTATTTAAGTCTATGAATAAATTAATACATTTGGAGAAAACCAATTGATGTAATGTGACATTAACAGTTGTCTGTTATGGACTGCAGGTCCTATGGTACTTAGCCAGTGGAGGGGGTGAGGGGGTTCTTAACAGGTGATTGAAAAATACAAACTTAAACTATGTGAGTAAGCCTAATTAAAAAAAAGTGTATGGATAAAAGAGTTTGTGGAAAAAATAGCTTGGCATATTTATAGCTGTTTCAGAAATGGAATATTTACAAAAAAATAACATTTTATATGGAATAATGAGATGTTGATGGAACAAAGAATTCCAACATATATGTAGAAAAGAGTCAATGCATGGACAAAGAGCCTCACTTTGTGTATTCACTTCCTAAAATAACCTTCTACATCTGGAAGCATATTGCATTTAGCCAGATGTTGATAAATATATTTCCACCTATGTTGTTCTATTTTTTTATAATTATTTATTATCCATGTTTAAACTTTTATGATTCGATTTCCACTATTACTTCCACAATCACATAGTTACATGGCAGTGATATAATGGGAAACAATAGCATTCTTTAGTGCATATTGAAAATTGAAAAGAAAAAAAAAATGAATACAAAAGCTCTTTTTGATTTGACAAGCATTGATACTTACTAATAATCACTTTATTTTCTATCCTATGATGTGGAATAATGAAATGTACCCCCTTTCTGGAGCTGGAGACATGCTTCTTGCACAGACACTAGTTTGATGATGTTTATAAATGAGTAAAGAGTCACTCCAAGCACTAGAATGACTTAGAATTGCACAGATTTTTAAAAATTGTTGCAGCTCTTAGCCTGCCTGCCACCCAAGGCAGATTCACTTTAAAGAAAGCTAAGTTTGCTTTAAATACTATTTCATATACATGCCAGCATTCAAAGAGTTAATATACCAATAGCGATAACGATCCACTAATCATGTAAAATTATAAACCAGCTGTGGACAATTAATAGGACAAATGTAACCAGTTATGTAGTAATGTTCAAATGGATGTAACATGAATGGAGACAATTGTATGTTAACTTTTGTCCTTGTTTTAATTTCAGACATTATAGGGTACATTACTCTAAAGTTAAACAAATGCCAACTTCACAAGTTACCTATAAGCTTTGACTTATTATTATTATTATTGCCATTTATATAGCGCTAACAGATTCCGTAGCACTTTACAGTATAAGAGGGGGGATTTAACAATAAATGAGACAATTACAAGAAAACTTACAGGAAAGATAGGTTGAAGAGGGCCCTGCTCAAACGAGCTTACGTTCTATAGGAGGTGGGGTGTAAAACACAATAGGACAGGAAACAGCAATCAATGTAGGTACATCCTGAAGGAGTTTATTGTACAGCCTATAAAAAACAAAGTATTGTCACACTATCTCCGTTAACAACATAAATATGTATGCCATGCTCCAGTAGAAGGCACTGCCCCTTTAAAAATGTTCCATTCAAAATTAATTTCCCAATACATTCATTACCATCCAATTGTAATTGGTAATTATTTTATCTGTGCATGGAAAGACTGATTAGACATGGCAATCATTTTAACGGTTGTAACCTTGAGGTTATGCAGCTGCATGAAGGAAAGCACTCTGATGTCTGGGGCTCCTCTACAGGAAAAGTGAGACTTCTGTTTAGAGATGATTAGTGAAGATGAGCAATAAGCCAGGATCAGCTGCTTTAACAGCACGTGGGAGAAAAAAAAGAAAGAAAATCTTTCTGGCTCACTTGATAAAGTCCTTGTAAAAATAAGGGCTATGCTCTGTATGTTGTATAAGTTAGATGCAGCTTTTCTAAGCGGGAAAGTGGTCTAGTGATTTAGTACACAATATTACTAATTAAATGGACAGACAGGGAGAACTTGGTTTAGTTTTCAAGGAGGTCTGTTTTCCAGGATTTCAAATATTACGTTTACATATGCCTTACATTAAACAAATATGTATTTGTGGGTTGTAACAAATGAAATTAAAAGTAGAATTTGTTACCTCTTTTGCGGTTTCATTAATTAGTGTAATTACTAGAGAAGTGATTGTTCTCATTACGCCAAGAGTTTATTATTGTGTGCTTTTATGGTAGTTTAGCCATTTTAACAACTATGACCTCAAATGAGTATGCAACAAAGTAGTTCTTATAACAGTTTCAGTTTCTTCTAGTAGCAGGAGTAAAAGAACTGGGATGTTTTCAGCTTCCAGGAATTGTGTACAGATCCTTGCAACATGGGGCCGTGCATTATAATGCTGCAACATGAGGTGATGGTTGTGGATGAATGGCACAACAATGGGCCTGAGGCTCTTGTCACAGTATCTCTGTGCATTCAAAATGCCATCAATAAAATGCAACTGTGTTCCCTGTTCATAACATATGCCTGCCCATACCATTATCCCACCGCCACCATGGGCCACTCGATCCACAACGTTGACATCAGCAAACCGCTCACCTACACAATGCCATACACGCTGTCTGCCATCTGCCCTGTACATTGAAAACCGTGATTCATCCGTGAAGAGAAAACCTTGTCAAGGTGCCAGACACCATAGAATGTGAGCATTTGCCCACTCAAGTCGGTTACGATGACGAACTGCAGTCACGCGAGACCCCAAACAGGACGACGAGCATGCAGAGGAGCTCCCCTAAGACGGTTTCTGACAGTTAATGCATAATTTGTGCAAACCAATTATTGCATCAACTGTCCGGGTGGCTGGTATGAGACGATCTTGGAGGTGAAGATGCTGAATATGGAGGTGTTGGACTGGCGTGGTAGAAAAGTCAAAATCTTTGTAACCAGAATTGGTACAGATGAAGAAAAAACAATACAACAGGCCATGGATACAAAGGCTGGACTAGCTCTATTTTGATTCTTGACACTTGGCAGACAAGAAGTTATTAGAAATATAGACTAAATATATAATTGTGTTACCTAAATCTTTATGCTGCAGAGTTGTTTTTTGGGATTTGCATGTTTTTTCCTCATTGCAGATGTTAAACAGCTGTTATTTTAGAGCATGCCCCTCCTGCACTTATTAAGTAACATTCATAGCAGAAATAAGTCAGCTGTTACACAAACAGCGCTATCCAAATGTTTCTGCCATAAAAAGTATTACCCATAAACATCAGTAAAATTTATTTTTAATTGTTTGTGTGTTTTTTGTTATTATTTTAATTTCTATAACTTTCCTCCAGAGTAGGCAATCACATAAGCACTAAATGACTGCATTGGAAATACAGACTTACAGAAGGCCCAGATAAGTGGTAACTTGCTGTAGTATAAATATGGCAAATTATCTGTTCACATGTATACAGCATTCTAAATATTAGTTATATTATATCTTTTTTAGGATTTGTTCTCTTTTAATTTTAAGTTTAAAATGTTATTGTTAAAAGGACACTATAGTCACCAGAACTACAGCTTAATGTTTATAGCATAGAAAAAAGAAAGGAAGGCAGCGCCACTATAAACCACATAAATTAAAAGAGCACAGTGGTTTATGTGGTTTATAGTGGCGCTGCCTTCCTTTCTTTTTTCTGTACCATTTCTGTTGTAAGGCCTGTGAGGGAGCCCTACTTTTAAGGTGTGCTGCCACTTTTTACTTATTTATTATTGTTTCTGTTGTATTTTGTATAGATAGAGAGCGCTGATCCCTTTCTTCTGTTCTAATGTTTATAGCATGTCCATTGTTAATGCCAAAATTTCAGAGAAAATACAGTGTTTACATTACTGTATAGTAACACCTCTAGTGCCTGTCTAGTCCTTCAGTCAGCCACTATAGGTGCTTCCTCTGTCAGCACTGGCATTCAGTGTTTCCACCCTCTGCATGGAGAAGCGGAGCGTTCCTCATAGAGATGCACCTCTGTCAAGAAATACTGATTGGCTCAGCACTGCATTTTAGCATGCATGCGCAATAGCTCTATAATGTTTCCCTAATGGAAAGCATTGGATAGGATAAGATTGTCTAGTTTGATGATCTAAGCTATGGAGGATGGGTGAGGAGGGGCCAACCATGGCGAAACCAGTGTAGTGTTGGAAAAAATGGGAGTAAACTATACTCTGAGATCTAAATTGTTATTTTACCACTAGTGTCAGGAATACATGTTTGTGTTCCTGACATCACAGTAACCTTTAAATGTTGTCTGTTTGAATACATCACAGAATATAAAGAGCTAGATTATTTTAAATTATTTAAGCTTGTCTAGAGTGAATGAATACCATTTTTTTCTTAGAAATCAATAGAAAAATGTCGGTTTTATTAACAGATGTGAGTTTATCACTCTTTATTCAATGAGGCAATATGGAGTGATGCCCCTCTCATACAAAGAAACAAACTTCAATATCACGATTCTGCAAATACTATATGCAAGGTCCCTCCAAACTAGTCTCTGCCAATATAGTAGCCTAGGCCCACACATGCATCATGGGCTGCTTGATGTAAAGCAGTGCATGCTCACTCAAATCCCACTTACAACAGGTGGCAATACAATTTTTTCCTCACACATGCAACACAGAATAACAATAGAATATCATCACAGAATAATATGTAAAGTATGGTGCAAACGTTCACACATTTCACCCATTGATGGAACCCCAGAAACCCAGGCAATGATCATTAAAGGGACACTATAGTCACCCACACCACTTCAGCTCAATGAAGTGTTCTGGGTTCCAGGTCCCTCAGGTTTTAACCCTTCAGATGCAAACATAGCAGTTTCAGAGAAACTGCTGTTTACATTTGGGGTTAGGCCAGCCTCCAGTGACTATTTTCCGGAAAACCAATATTATGCCTCCATCGCGCAGAGCGTCCATGGGAAAGCATTGAGAAATGCTTTCCTATGGACACTTTGAATGTGCGTGCGGCACATCCCGCGCATGCGCATTCGGCTCCGCTAATGTCAGACGGGGGAGCTGGCGTTGGCGGGGGAGGAAAGGTCACCAGCGCAGAGGGAATAAAGTTTTAACCCCTTCAGCGCCAAGGGAGGGGGACCCTGAGGGTGGGGGCTCCCTCAGGGCACTATAGTGTCAGGAAAACCACTTTGTTTTCCTGACACTATAGTGATCCTTTAACCTAAAGAACCTTAATAGAAGTAGGATTTATTGAAAATTGGCATCACCCCTCCCATGCAAAATGGTCAGTAAACATACATTAAAACAGACCATTGTCAATTCAGTCAAGTACACTGAATTAACGGTTTGGCTACAAGGTAACCAAAAGAGGGTGGGTGTGCATTTGCGAAATTTACACAGATAGTTGCTGTGTTCAACTTTTTTTTTGTTGAAAATTTGTTTTTATTTATTTGTAGGTTCATCGTAAGTTAAACAGTAAGACTCGCAGGTCTAATCATATATATAACATTTGCATAACAGAAACAAGGAAAACTCAGGATCCAGGAGAGAAATATATGTTTTGGAGGCCCATCGGCTCATGTTACTATGGGACTCGCAGGTCTGTGTCGATTTTCTGGGGTGTAGATCTAGTTAACCTCCCCCTACTTTAGGGTTCATATATGCTCACTTCTGCTATAACATTGAACTTATCACTTTAGTTTTTGTGAAACTCCAGGCTTCAGTCATATGTGGGAGCTTACATATATTATGTAGCTTATATTTATTGCTCAGGGTTTAGTTTCCCCCCATGACTTTTACCTATGGCAGAGCCCAAGTGTTGCTTAGGTTTCTCTTCACCTCCTCTGTGGTGCCTGAATCCTTGTCATTTGCTATTACGTGTTAGGTGTCGATGTTCTGTTGAAAATGGGTGTCTCTGTTGTGCGTGGGTGTGTGTCTATCTAATTGCCATACGTTCATTATGTTTTGCTATATTCCCGTCTAATCGCCAGGTATCTAAGCCACAGAGTGTCCTGGATTTCTGTGCCACTGATCAGGTATCATTGTCTTTTGTCATTTCCCATCTTCTGTTTCCCGTTTTGTTTATCCTTATTACTCTCCAAGTTTATTATGCTAATTGTCTGTCTCATAATCGGCCCGTCTGGCCTTGGTCCTGGTTCCCCCGGGTCCCGGTAGTCTGGTAGGAGAGTGCTGTGTTCAAGTTAAATCATTCTGGTGTTAAAAGAATCAGTTCATAACAACAAGTAACAATTAAGGCAAGTAGAAAGTGGATAAATCTCTCAAAATATGATCTTCCCACACCACTCATCAGGTACATCAGCATAGTCCCTCCACATTTGTTTTGGTGATACAATTTTTTTATTGGGTACATCAGTAAATTCCAACACCATTCTGCAAATATAGTTCCAGTTCCTCTACCCATTGTTCAAATGGCAAGTTCCCTTATTCAAGAGAGGGCTGGTAACTTTTGGTCCGAGGGTAATTCTAAACAAACCTCCAGATCTCAATGTGGCTGGTTCTACTGATGATAAGCATGCAATATATACATTTGGTAAATGGAGGCTGCTGGAGTTGCAAAGTGTGCCATCATAAATCCCTGTAACATCCAACAGTATGACTTATTATTATAAAAGAACATTTATAAATATATCATATCTGCATGCATGTTTACCACTGAATTTCATTGCATCAACAAAAACATGCAAACAGACAAGAAATGGAAGCAGCAGGGGGCACTATTTGGAGCTATAGTGCCAGGAAATGGCACTATAGTTTCTCTTTGAAAGATAGAGAGATAGAGAGAGAGAGAGAGAGAGAGAGAGAGAGAGAGAGAGAGAGATATTAGAGTGAGAAAGAGAGAGATTAGATAGAAAGTCAGACAGACAGACAGATATATGGATCACATGAATGATGTTTTAACAGATAAAAAGTCTGCCTGTGTGTGTTTGTGTGTGTGAATGTCTGTTTGTGTGGCTGTCTGCGTGTGTGGCTGCATGTAAGTATGTGTGTGTAAGAGTGTATGTGTCTGCCTGATCCTTTGTATGTGACTATTTGCCTGCGACTGTGTCCGTGTGGTGGATTTGACAGTGTATATGTATAACTGTGTGCATCTGACTGTGGGATTGTGTGCACATAACTCTGCAAAAAAATATACACCTGCATTCACACATAGGCCTAAATGCATATTTTATCTGAATTTAAATATCCATCACACACAGCCAATAAACCCAGCACAAATATCACAAAGAACCAATACATGCATAGCACACCGTTAATACACCCACTACAAATATCACACACAGCCAACACATAGCATACATATCACACACAGTCATCACACCTATCACATATACAGACAACACAAACATGACATCATATTATAGTGAGATGTATTACAGTGGAGCTCTGGTATATAAAATGCACATTACTCTGTGTTTTATAGCTAGGGAGCTCAGTGATACACTAATAGACACATTACTTAGAGTTGTATTGTTGTGTAGTGTATGATATTGTCACAGAGCTCCACATTACTGTGAGTTTTATTGCTGTGTAGATTATTCGCAAAGAGGCCTAAAGGCCTAAGGCTGGCCCTGGTTCTATATACAGACGAATGAAGAATGCCATTGGTGACAGTTCTTGTGCAGTCCAAGAAACTATGATTTAAAAATTTCATTTTAAGGATTATTGACGGGTGGAATGAATTAAATGATTTATGGAAGTCTATAAGGCTTTCTTCTCCTTCTGTCCATATTATGAAAATATGATCGATGTAACAATAATATGTATATGGTTTGTGGGGCTGTGTACATAAAGATCTGTTTTCGAGGTCAGCAATGAAATGATTGGCGTATTGGGGTGACATTTTTTGTGCCCATCGCTGTTCCTGTCATTTGTAGGTAGTTATTGCTATTAAGACTGAAATAGTTGTGTGTGAGTATGAATTCTATAAGCCGGGCAATTATTGCGCTATCATATTTATGTTGGTTTGTGGGATGAGAGAAATTTAATGCAGGGCTCAATACCATCCTTATGTGGGATGTTACTGTATAGGGATTCCACATCCATTGTTACTAGTATAGTGTTTTCAGATAGTTCATTTATCTAGCTAATATTTGGCTAATCCAATCTACGCTATAGATATGTAGCAAACTCGCCCCTTTAAAGGAGTTTGCCGTGAGTTTTGGGAGGGGGCTGCTTGCCCGCCTCCTGCCCTGTGACTACAGCCCCTGGGATGTATTGCTTTTTAAGAACATATTTGGGCATTTATTATGCGGCTACTGGCCCTTTAAGCACAGTGTATGGACTTCTATTAGACTGTGTATAGATTGTGTATAGGAAGGTGTACCCCTCCTCCGTTTCCTGTCCCATTGTTCTCCAGCAGGGCGTTGTCCCAGGCACACTGCCAGACTAGTTGGAACTGGTTTGGGCTGGAAAGTTTGGGCTGGAAAGCCATGCTTCAGTGGTCCTAAAGGGACCTCCACCTTTCTTTTTAACCCCTGAACCGATTGACCTAATTTTTGAGTATGTTTATATTTCAAGTATGCCGATTCTGAAAATGTATGTTTTAGGAAGATTTGATGTATATTTTTAAAGTTACATCATGTAAACACTGTATATTTTCTGCCTGTGATAATTAAGTTAGTCTATTGTGTTGAGATAATTGTATCACAGGCAGCGGGGAGGAGATGTGTGGGAGGT